CCCATATAGCTCCCTCCCATAGCCTCCCTCCCCCAACTAGAGCCCTTATACTCTGTTATCACTGCTACTGTCCGCTATGTTGTCGGCATCCCCAGCCGTTCCCCACTACTTGTCCATCTGGTGAATCTAGTCAGCCTATCTAGAGGTCTTTGTTTTAGGAAGATCAGCTGTTACTCATCTAGCAGCAATCAGTTCTCAATATTCCTTTAGATAAGATTGGGGTTTGCTGTTCATTTTCCCAGTTCTATGCTGGGTTGCTGTCTGGGAATCTTTTGGGCCACCCTGGCCAATAACTCAAAGGAAGGTATCTCCTTTCTGGCATTGTTTCTTGTTATGTAGCCTTTAGCTATACATGTGGACGCTTAAAAATTGTATTGACCCCATTAATCTTTGGTTATACTTTCCTTTTTGATGTTTAAGACCCTACAGTTGGCTCAGATAAACCAATTTATTTTTACTCTTAAGGTCATTTGGGGATCTGTTTTTCAGGGGTAACATGGGCTTGGGAGGAGCTTCTGTCTCCTTTCTTTTACCAGTTCCACCTATTTGAAGATAAGTCAAAAATCCTGCTCAACCATAGCAAGCATGGAAGAAATGTTCCCTCTGTGTTGACCCTCCTCTTTGTAGACTGGGCACTGGTTCAGGTCCATCTGGTGGGTTCTTCACGGCCTCCTTGCACAAGAGGACAGGTGACTCACCACAGTTACAGGGCATTTTAAGAGATTCTTATAGTCCCCTGGAACTTAGTCGATCTAGGTGGGCAAGAAGCAAAAACTGTCCTTTATGCTGAGGTATGTTCCCTCCAGTCCAATTCCCTCTAGGACTTTGAACATAAATGCATGCTGAATTTTGTCAAAGGCCTTCTCTGCATCTATGGAGATGATCATGTGGTTCTTATCTTTGAGTACATTTATATGATTTATGACGTTTATTGACTCATGTATATTGAACCATCCCTGCATCTCTGGAATAAAGCCAACTTGATCTTGGTGGATGATCCTTTTGATGTGTGTCTGTATGCGGTTTGCAAGTATTTTATTGAGAATTTTTGCATCTATGTTCATTAAGGATATGGGTCTTTTTTTTTGATTGGGTCTTTACCTGGTTTGGGTATTAAAGTGATGCTGGCTTCATAGAAGGAATTTGGGAGTTCTCCCTCTTTCTATCTTTTTGAATAATTTAAGTAGCATTGAATGTAGATCCTCTTTAAATGTCTGGTAGAATTCTGCTGTAAACCCATCTGGTCCTGGGCTTTTTTTCAGTTGGGAAGTTTTGTATTACTGTTTCAATTTCCTTAAGTGTTATGGGTCTGTTTAAGATGTTAATCTCTTCTTGGTTTAGTTTTGGTGGTTCCCATGCCTTTATATATCTGTCCATTTCTTATAGGTTTTCAAATGCAGTAGCATATAGGATTTTAAAGTATTCCCTTATAATGTTCTGGATCTCTTTGGTGTCTGTTGTGATGTTTCCACTTTCATCTCTGCTTTTGTTGATTTGGAGGTGCTCTTTCTTTTTTTTTGGTTAATTGGGATATTAGTCTATCAATCTTATTTATCTTCTCAAAGAACCAACTCTTGGATTCATTGATTCTTTGTATTGTTTTCTTTGTTTCTATTTCATTAATTTCTGCTCTGATTTTTGTTATTTCTTCTTGTTTGTTGGGTTTGGGTTTCATTTGTTGTTGCTTTTCAAGTGTTTTGAGTTGCAATGTTAAGTCATTTATTTGTGTTCTTTCCTATTTTTTGATGTAGGCATTTAGAGCTATAAACTTCCCTCTAAGGACTACTTTCAGTGTGTCCCAGAGGTTTTGTCGTGTTGTATTGTCCTTTTGGTTTAGTTCCAGGAATACTTTTATTTCTTTATAATTTCTCCTTTGAGCCATTCATCATTTAGGAGTGTGTCATTTAATTTCCATGTGTTCGTGTGGTTACTGGGGTTTCTTCCAGTATTGATTTAAGCTTTATTGCATTGTGGTCTGATAGAATGCATGGAATTATTTCAATCTTTTTGTATTTGCAGAGGTTTGTTTTGTGCTCCAGTACATTGTCGATTTTGGAGAAGGTTCCATGGGGCACTGAATAGAAAGTACATTCTTTGCTTTTCAGGTGGAATATTCAGTAGATGTTTGTTAGGTCCATTTGATATATGGTATTGTTTAATTCAGATGTCTCTCTGTTAACTCTCTGCCCTGCTGACTTATCTAATGGAGACAGTGGGGTATTAAAGTACCCTACTATTAATTAGTTGGGATTAATCTGGGTCTTAAAGTCCTGTAGTACTGTTTTTATGAAGTTGGGTGCACCAGAGTTTGGTGAATATATGTTCATGATTGTAATATCTTCTTGGTTTATTGTTCCTTTGATCAGAATGAAGTGGCCCTCTTTGTCTCTTCTGATTAGTTCTAGTTTAAAGTCTATTTTACCAGATATTAGAATTGCAACACCTGCTTTTTTCTTAGTACCATTCTTTTGGTATATATTTTTCCATCCTTTCACCTTGTCCTAGTTTGTTTCTCCATTGCTGTGACAAAACACTCTGACCAATACCAACTTGGGGAGGAAAGGGTTTATTCAGCTTACCTCTCCCAGGTCGCAGTTCATCAGGGAGCCCAAGGTAGGAACTCAGGGCAGGAACCTGGAAGCAGAAGCTGAAGCACGGGCCATGGAGGAATGCTGCTTACTGGCTTGCTCTTCTGGCCCCTACTCAGCCTGCTTTCTTATGCAACACAGGTCCACCTGCGCAGGGGTGGCACCACCCACAGTGGACTGGGCCCTCCCACATCACTCATCAAGAAGATGCTCCTCAGACATGGCCACAGGACCGTCCAATAGAGGCAATTCCCCGATTGAGGCTTCCTCAACCCAGGTGTGTCAAGTTGACACTAAAGCTATCCAGCACATACCTTAAGATAGTGCCTGTCCTTGAAAGTGAGATGAGTTTCTTGCAGACAAGAAAAAGTTGGTTTTGTTTCTTAATCCATTCAACTAGTCTGTATCTTTGATTGGGGAGTTCAGTCAATTGATATTTAAAGTTATTAATGAAAGATGAGTATTGAATCCTATCATTTTTATTTCTGTTCACATTCTTGATATAGCTGTGCATTTCCACAGTAATACCTTCATTGAATTTCTTTCTGTCACCCCTTGTGTATAGTTGTTCCTTTCTTCAGCTCTTTGTATTACTTCAAGAACTCTCTGAAAGGCTACTTTTGTGGTCATGAATTCTTTCAGCTTATTTATGTCATGGAAGATTTTTCTTTCCCCTTCAACTATAGTAGACATTTTGGCTGGG